CTCCAAGGTGCACGTTACATTCGCGCTTTACACTTTTAGATAGTGTGAGATCATTAGAGCACAGAAAATCATGCAGCACAGGAAAGACTTCAGTGTTGTTTGTATCCAAGCAGTTCTTCCAAAGGTTTAACTTCTTTATCATGGCCTCAACTTTATCTTGAACATTGAATATAGTTGCAGAAACGCCTTGTAATCCGAGATTGAGCTCGTTCAGACGAGAAAATATATCACACAGATAAGCCAGGCAGGTAAGGTACTCTTCATCATGCAAATGTTCAGACAGCTCAAAGGGATGGTTACTGAAGAAAACTTTAAGTTCATCCCTCAACTCAAAGAAACGGGTCAGCACTTTCCCTCTAGATAGCCAGCGAACCTCTGTGTGGAGTAATAATGTCTCATGCTCGCTGCCCATCTCATTGCACAACGCAGCAAATAAGCGGGAGTTCAGCGGCCTGGCTTTCACAAAGTTAACCATTTTTACACTCGTGTCCAAAACATGTTTCAAACGGACAGGTATTCCCTTTGCAGCAAGAGCCTCTCGGTGGATGCTGCAGTGTACCCAGGAGGCATCTGGCGCGACTGCTTGCACACGCGAAACCACACCTCCGTGTCTCCCAGTCATGGCCCGTGCGCCATCAGTACAGATGCCAACACATCTGTCCCACACGAGTCCATGTGTGTTCATGAATGTGTCCAGCTTTTGAAAAATATCTGCGGCAGTTGTCCTTTGTTCCAGTGGTTTACAGAACAGCATGTCCTCCTTGATGGTTCCTTCATGAATGTAGCGCACATATACGAGAAGATGCGCCAGGCCAGCCACATCCGTGGACTCATCTAGCTGTATTGCATAACATTCACTGTGGCGTATGCGCAGAAGTAGCTGCTGTAAAACATTTTCTGACATTGCATTGATGCGCCGTGAGACAGTATTGTTTGATGATGGAATGGACTGTATCGTCTTTTTTGCCTTTTCCCCCAACATTGTCCCTACCATATCTAAAGCAGCAGGGAGAATGAGGTCCTCCACAATAGTGTGGGGTTTGTTGTTTTTAGCCACTCTGTAACTGACCATGTACGATGCTTGTAGTCTGTTTTTATTCATAAGATCTGGCACCTGAATGCAGGTTTTACTTGTTGAAAGTGATTTTAGCTGTCGCTCAAAATATTCCCTTGGTTTATTTTTCAAATGGGGATGATTTGTCTCTAAATGTCTGCGCAAAAGTGAAGGTTTCATTGAGTTCTGAGACAATACTTTTGCACAAATAACACACTGTGGCCGGGGAAATCCACCAATATTTATACACGTAAACCCCAGCGAAATATAATTGTCATCATATTTGCGCTTCTTTGATGAGGTTGTGTTACAGTCCGAGCTGTCATGCTTTCTCCCACTTTGACGCTCTGCATCAGACACTTCATCACTTTCCACATGGCTGGCTCCAGCTATGTTAGCCACTTGGCTAGTAACCACAGATACATCCCTGCTAGCACTGCTAGCATCCAAATCTGACGAACACATTGTTGTTGAACAATCACCTGTGCGGTCACTGGAAAATGCATCTTCAGATATGAGCTTATTGGTTGTTGTGGCCGGTGTCTCTGTGGTAGGGCCTTTTTTTCTTGTTAACCACTTGTCCATTTTCGCGCTGCACTGAATGCTTGGAGGCAACTTCAACTGTTAGGTGTCAGTCATTTGGGCAAATCACGCCCATGTATTTTGTCAGAGCTATTTTTTTGCTGAACACCAGGGGGTGGTATATAGTCATGTATTTGACAGGCAAATAAAACTGCATTAGAGCAAATTTCGGCTTTTAAAACTTTTGATCCCCACTCCAACCCCAACCCACGCGTACCCCCTACAGCCACTTGCGTACCCCCGAGGGTACGCGTACGGTAGTTTGGGAACTACTGCCTTAGGGGAATTAGGTCTTTTAGAGGTGCTCCGTGTGGATTTGCGGTGAATAAGTTTTATTAAGAGTGATTTTAGTGCCACCGATTATTGCCTGAACTAAAACACTTAGTGCATGTGATAAGTGTTCTGTTGGGCTCGGATTTGTTTCTTTTAAAACAACGAGCATCTGGGACCGCCGAGGGAGAGCAAGCCCTCAGGTGATAGTTGCATTGCTGGCAGGTTGCACCAATAAGACTATATTGTGGTCGTTAGTGACCTTTTCCATTTTGATGTTTTAGGCCTTTTGCAAACCCTTTGTGTTTTCTTTTAAAATAAATTTTAACGTATCTGACTGATATTGACCCTCTTGTCCCGTTTATTCTGGGCTCGTTCCTGTATGAGCTTTGGGCCTGAAAGTTTGTAGTATAGAGGCCCTTAGCAGTTACTCGGTGGCTTTTACTCGCTACATTAGGTAAGGCTGCACGTTTTGCAGTGATCTCGTATAGAAAACTATTCCACGCGTATATAAAACAGGTCCACGGCTCCGAACCGTAATAAAGGGACCTCTGGCTAATACGTCGGGTTCGTGTCGGGCTCGTAGCTGAAAACTAGCTTTACTTTGTTGTCTGGGTCAACTTTGCTAGCAGAGACGGAGAGAGGCGTTGAAAGGCTGCTGCAACAGGACTTATTGTTTCAGAGGAAACAGGAACACAGTGTACAGTCGAGTCTTAGTAGCTTACTTACAGCTGGGCTCGTCAGGCTCTCTTCTTGGCTGCAGTGGTTATTATTATAATTACATGCTTCCAGCTCCCGTTTCTGCTCGGTGACAGCTTGTACTTTTGCTTTTTCTCCCTCCTCGCTCACAGACACATAACGGGTATGGCAGTCCATTCTCCCTGCAGCACGGACTACACTGCCCATGAGGCTACATTGTTTAGGGCGATGCCTGTAACACTCTGCTCATATTGCCTTCATATTAAATCATTTTTTAAATTTTTTTAAAAATATTTCTTCACGTCATTACGTGGGGTCTAGTAGAGGAGACATGGGCCATGACATTGAGACACAGGCATCAGAGCCTCTTAATGCGTGTTTTGTTTGGGTTTCCACCGGCGTGGAATTACCAAAAATAGAGAGGACATAGCCGAACATATGAAACAGGAAAATACCGCCGTGTAATCCCTTTATTTCAACAAACTAACTGTATTCTGAATACCACCCTTTGAAATGGTAATTGTAATGGCATACAGTTACTCATATTTTGCCACTTTACTGTTCAAGTAGTACAAAGCAAACAAAAACCCACAAATATTTCCTAAAATGTTTTGTTTGTTTTTTAAATTTCAAATATTTTATAAGAGGACAAAACTGCAAACATGAACACAGATTTGAACTGTAGCCTTTCATTGAATGACTAGACAAACACACTGGTCCTGTCTGTGCACACATGTGACAGCACTTCTGCTGTCAATGCAAATCAAAGTGCAGACATTAGTACACATACACTCATATCGCCTTCATATTCAATCATTTTTGGCTTTTTAAAGAACTTGTTTTAAAATTGGACTCAACATCAAACAAATCCTCTAACAAAAAAGTCACTTAAAATATGGGCCACAAGTGACCCCTGGGCTGCGAGTTTGATACCCCTGCTTTAGACAGAGGAGAAAGTGGAGCATTACAATAATCTAAGCAGGAGGAGATGAAGACTTGAATAAGCATCTCCAGCTCACTTTCTGAGAAAACAGCTGCGAGTTTAGTGATTTTACTTAAAAAAAAAAAAAAGCGAGAGTGGGTCAGAGTTGATGTTTGCATCAAAGACCGATGAACAACCAACCAAAGACTGTCAATTTAAATGGATTCTTTATTCGACTCATCAAGGTTAGAAGAAAAGAAACAGTTGAATGTGATCCACATACAGATGGTAGGAAGCAGTTTTAAACCTAATAGTATGATGTGATGTCAGAATATACAATGATTAAACTTTAAATAAGGATTAAAGTTTGATCAGTTCAATTCCGTTTTATTTATATAACACCAAGGTTGGCTCATGGTGCTTTATATTGTAAGGTAAATATAATAACAGAGACCCCAACAATCACCGGACTTTGTAACACAACATTACACTATACCCAAACAGGACACACACACACACAGAGACACAGTGTCCTGAGCTGGTTCAGCTCCTGCGTAGGACACAGCTTCAGCTCAGTTCCCCCTCAGCTCCATCTGCCACGACCAGTCGGGGTGAGGGAAGAAGACGGGGATTAATAATAACTAATGGTTAAATGCAGAGTGGTGTATAAATAGAGTACACAGACATCAACTGTATTCTAAAATTAAATACAGACTCGGGCTCATTTATGGTGCTGATGGAGTTCGTACTGATTCCACGCTGTGTGCATGGAATTAGGAATGCTGTTGTTGGAATGTGTTGGAGGGCTCATTGATTTGAAAAATTCTTCATTGTTCAGCACATGGTGAATTTATTTACATTATAGAATAGCATAGATATAAATATGATTAGCAAATTATTTAAAATATTGTCAAACTTTGGATTTTAAAAATAAGAGTTTGAGCAATTCTGAGACCAATATTTGTCTTAGCTTTTATTTTTTCTTGTTGCACCTTTTGTGCCTGGAACAATGGCATCTTCAGTCTTCCTCATCACCCTATCTGGACATCACTCTGAAAGACATGAGCTTTGGTCTCCACCTGACACGCAGCTCTCACTCACTGTAGCTGAATCAAGTAGCTGTCATGCAACAGCAGCCACATT